ACGGCACTTAAAAAACAAACAGAATCTGGAGTTATTCAAGCGGATCTCAGGGGAAAACACGCCAACCATCCAACTATTGACCCACAGATTAAAAAGAGTGTAATAGATTTTATAAATTGTATTCCAAGAATAGAATCCCACTACTTAAGAGCACAAACAAGTAGAGAATTTATTTCATGTGATAAATCTTTGGCAGATATCTACAGAGATTATAAACGATTTCGTGAAAGGGATGAATTACATGTTGCCACGTCTTCCACATTCAACAGGATATTCAACACCGAATTCAACATTTCTTTTTTTGTACCGAAAAAAGATCAATGTGATTTGTGCGAAAGGTACAAAAACTCAGATGAAGAAGAAGCAAGTTAAGCCAAGAATATGAAGAACATCTAAAAGAAAAAACTTTCGCAAGAACTGAAAAAGAAAATGACAAGAATAGGACAGATGGTACCATCATAGCAGTTTATGACTTGCAAGTAGTATTGCAGGTTCCGAAGGGTCAAATATCCCTATTTTTTTATAAATCCAGGATCAATTGCCTCAATTTTACTGTCAGCGATTTAAAGGCAACAGATGTCGTGTGCTACTTTTGGGATGAAACTGAAGGAAAGAGAGGAGCTGTTGAAATTGGTAGTTGTATACTCGACTACATTAAATCTCAGGTAGACCACACTCCCAATAAAGAAATTGACGTAATATTCTACTCAGACAATTGTGGCGGTCAACAAAAAAATAAGTTTCTGTTGTCTGTCTATGCCTACGCTGTCAACAAGTTGAGAGTTAAGTCTATTACTCACAAGTTTTTAATCCGCGGTCATTCACAAAATGAAGGGGATAACGTTCATAGTGTGATTGAAAAACAAATTAAAAGATATTTGCAGTCGGGTCCAATATACATACCAGAGCAATATAAAACTTTGATTGGTACAGCCAAAAAGACGGGAAAACCTTACAAAGTCTAGAAATGACTCATAATAAGTTTTATGACGTCAAAGCATTGCAAGAATCGTGGGGCACCAATTTCAATATAGACGAGGAGAAAAATCAAATCAAGTGGCATGACATTAAGGTTCTCAGAGTTGAAAAAGGATACCCTGAAGCGTTTTTCTACAAAACATCATTTACTGAGGAAACTTATAAAAAAGCTTGTATGCGAAAGAGCAGGGTTCTCCGCGCAAGAGGAACCGGTTCAACCATAGATCAATCGTTATTTTCAATTGGCTTAACACAGGCATACACTGACAAAATTGCATTGTCGGAAGCTAAAAAAAAGACATACAAGAATTGATTGATAAAAACGTTATTCCAAAATCGTACTATGATGTTTATTATAAAGGCGTTTTGGGCGATAATGCATGATAATTAACTGCTTTATTGTTATTAAAATATTTAGGTCTTTAACTATCCATTAGATCAAAAAGAATATTTTACCAAAAAATGGTACTGATAAAAAAGTGAAATACCAAAGTTGTGCAGTTATTTATAAGTAATTGTAGATTCAATAACGGTGATCTCAAAGTGCCATTATTAGCATTTAAGTTTAAAGTTTATTATTTCTCAGCTTAGCTACTCAGATTTTTGTTTTATTTAATCTTGTAATAGGTATTTTAAAAAATATCTACTAAAAGTTTTTCGGCTGTGTTAGTATACTTTTATACTTTTTTGAAGTTTTATTAATAAAAAATATTGTTTGATTTCGTACTTCTAGTGTTTTCTTAAAATCATTCTCCAATATACCCCTAGTGATGGTCACAGACCGCTCTATGAATTGGATTAATTATAAATAAGACAAAATGTTATTACATTTTAAATTTATGTTGCTTCTTCAAAAGAGAGCCAACTAAAAACTAAATTCATCAACACAGGCTCAACTCAAAATAATAAAACAAATATCCATACATTGTTAAGCAATAGGGAAATAACTTCAAAAATCCAATTTTCAGCCTCAAAACATGATTAAAACACAAAATTCCTACAATATCATTCTTTTAGCAGCATAATATAAAATCATAAATCTATACAAAAAACTGCAATGCACAGGGACACAGTAATTAGTTTTTTGCCTTTTCTGGAAAAAGTGCTTTTTTGAGTTAATACCTCTTTAGATCTAGGTGTGCGATATGGAATAGTAGCAATGTTAAAGATTTGTTAGAGGATTTATATCAAAGAGGGAAACCATGGTTATTTCCTTTTAGGTATTAGCTTTTATTCATTTGTTACAAGAACTGCACTTTATTTTTTAAATTACAGAATTTTCATGTTCGGTCATAACCGGACAAAAATCTGAAAAATCCCGGCCATTTTGGTGAAATTCAGTTTTTCTCCTTGCATTTTTTTAAAAACAAAAATAAAAATTTTCATTTTTTATTAATTTAAACAGCTTCTTTGTAATTTATTATGCAATGTTTGCTAATAACATTCCATGGCAGATGCAAATTTCGTTTATATATTCCTACAAAACCTGGTAAATATGGAATTGAAGCTAATGTGCTCTGTGACTCAGAAAACTACTGCTGTTTTACTGCAGAACTGTATACAGGAAAAGTAATAAACCAGCCCAAAGATTACAATAGTGGTCCGGAAGTTGTAACACGTCTTGTAGAATTAGCAAAATTGCAGAACAGTGGTCGCAACATCACAATGGACAAGAAGTTTACGGCAGTCCCAATAGCAAATTCTTTGTTGGAACAAAATCTTACAGTCGTGGGGACGAGATAATGAGTAACAAAAAAGATGTTCCACCAGAACTAAGACCTCAATCTTTGAAGGCTGCAAGGCCTGGAACTATTCGCTTTGGTTTTCGAAACCGTGAAACACTTGTAAGTTATGTACCAAAAAAGAATAAGGTCGTCACTGCTCTTTCTACGCAAAATTCTGAATGATAAACCAGAAATTATTTTATATTATAACTCCACAAAAGCCGGCGTCGATACGCTTGATAAATGTGTAAGAGCATATAGTTGTCGGCGAGGCACAAGAAGATGGCCGATGGCAGTCTTTTTCAATTTGATTGATATAGTTGCCTCTACAACTCCTACATTCTCTTCATAAAAGCCAACGAGAACTAGGCAAAAGAGAATCTGAAACAAAAATCTGGAAGAAAACTTTTTTTTAAAATGTTTAAGCAAGGAATTGTGCCAAATTAACATGAGTAATCGTTTAAAATATAGGGGATTTCAAAATAAATACATAGCTGCTTTGAAAAATTTTGGGTTTGAATGTCAACAGGACCAGCCTACGACAAGAGGTGTTGTTCGTTGTGAGCCAATCGGACCAGCTGTGCAAAAAAATCCCAAAAAAGGAAGATGTTTTATTTGTCCAAGGTCGGCCGATAGAAAATATATGAAGGCATGTTCTAATTGCGAAAAGTATATTTGCCCTAGGCATACGGCCAGCGAACAAATTAATACAATTAGAAAATGTAAAAACTGTAATAATGTTTAATAATGTAAGGAGGTCCTTTCGCCACCCCTTTCGCCACCAATGTTAAATAAAAAATATTAGATTATGACTAAAATTAATTTTTTTTCTAATAGTTGAAGTCCTTATCTAATAGTGAACTTTTAACTATACCTTACCTTGCAAATTTATGAGAATTTTTTTTTAAATGTGAGTATTTGTACAGTGCCTTACGAGAAAGTAAGACCTCAACAACAATTCTCAAATTATACTATTATTTATTGATCAGATGAAGTAGAAAAAAACTAAAAATAAGGTTTTTGAAATATTTAGGTTTTGTTTTTTACAATAAAATATATAGGTTACCGTGGAATTTATTGAGAAATTTATATTAAAAAAAAATTTCAAGTAACCTAGTTTAAAATTTTTTGTGATTTTTTAATATTAATTTCTCAATAAAATCCACGGTCACCTATATATTTTATTGTAAAAAACAAAACCTAAGTATTTCAAAAACCTTATTTTTAGTTTTTTTCTACTCCATATAATCAATAAATAATAGTATATTTAATTATAATTCGAAAATTGTTGTTGAGGTCTTACTTTCTCGTAAGTCACTGTACAAATACTCACATTTTAAAAAAAAAATCTCAAAAATTTGCACGGTAAGGTATAGTTAAAAGTTCACTATTAGATAAATAAGGACTTCAACTATTAGAAAAAAATTAATTGTAGTTATAATCTAATAATATTTTTTAATTAACATTGGTGGCGAAAGGACCTCCTAAAATGAGTTTTTATTATTAAAATTGATTTTAACCAAGATCCTTGACTTTTTGACATTTTTTTACATTAAGCTCCTACTTGACTTAAAAAAAATCTGGGGTCAGGCGCTAGCCCCCCTGTTCCATCTTCTCCGGGTATCCAGTTAGGGTCCCAGTGCGACTGTTAAAAATACACGTTAGTATCATCATTACCAAGTTTTAAATAATAATTCGTTTAGTGAGAACATTAGTAACGTAACTTCGAAATACTCGTTTTCGACTTATTTACGTCAAAAGACTGCCTTAATGTAGCCCGTAACAGGTGCATAACTGGCGAAATTCTAGTTCTACTACTATCTCCCCGGTGGCGGTAGACGTCAGTAATGCCTGCTATTTTTATTTTCACCTCTGAACACAATACCGACGATAGTCTCAGTCTGTCATCGGCCGTGAGTGTGATAGCAGTGTCAAATTCAGTATTAGTGACGGAAACCGAGTAACGACATTATTGTGGTAGGTTGAATATTTTTTTAATGAGAGTATTAACGTACCTCTAGTTTCGTCAGTAATGAACTATAAAGCAAATGAAATCCTTTCTAGTTTCGTCTGTAATGCATAATATATTTCTTTAGCAGAATATGTTTTTTAATTTAGTTTAAGTGCAACTGTTAAGTTGTGGTCATCTGCACTAGTGATTCACAATTACATTAAATTGTTACAATAGTAAAGTTTCTTTAAAATAATTATTTATACACATTACAACAAAGTATGCATGATATGAAAAATTTATTTCAATTTCAGTTTTAAAGATTCGTGATTATTTTAAACGCCAAAATGAGTGATCGAGCAAAGAAGATGATGGCTGCTGTAGGTGTAAGGTGAGAGTAAATGTGTTTTCATAACTAAAGCGCAGTATTCATTTTAATATTTTGAACAGGCTTCGACGTGTACATGAAGAGGATAACGAACACGTAACTTGGGAAGTGACACCATCGCAATCAATCAGACAAGAGTCAGATCATCTGGAAGGTTTGTATAGTTAAAACATAAATTTTATATAACAACGCTCTATATACATTTTTAACGTTTTATAGATAATGAGACCAGAAAGTATTCAAATAATGAAATTGTGGCCAAAGAGAATCCATACAATGATTTCATGAGATTTAACGAAAATCAGCAATTGGACTCTAACTCTTCTACTAGTGTTACATCGTCTTCTTCTTCTCAGATTGATGCTAGCAGTGAAGATTCTAACTATACAACTGGTGACGAGTCAAGTACTGATTCAAATAGCAGAGTCGACGAGAACAATCCCCCACGACGTATAGTCAGAGATAAACAAATTACCAAAAAGAGACCTAAAAAAACAGCAGAATGGCGTAGAAATGTATGTAAAAAACTGAGAAACTGTGGCCAGAAGTATGAAACTCTATCTAAAAATAAAGTGTTACAAGAACGAAAGATTTTGACACCTTGTAACGAAAAATGCCGTTTAAAATGTACCGGAAAGTTCACTGATGAACATAGGGAACACATTTTTAATACATTCTGGAAATTAGGAGATTTACAGAAGCAAAGGTCCTTTGTTTTGAGTAGTATGCGGACAATACCTAAACAATATACAAAAGTGAGTCCCGAAGGTTAAGGAAACGTGGATGTAATAAAGCGTATTACTTTTCTATTGATGATGTTTCCACCCAAGTATACCAAAAAATTTTTACATCCACATTAGGTATATCTGAAAGATTTGTCCGTACTGTCGTCTCAAAGAGTACAGATGGTTTTATAGAGGGGGAAATGCGCGGTAAACACAAAAAAAGTAATGTTTCAGAAGACGTTAAAGAGAGAATCAGGGATCACTTACGAACCATACCAGCCTTAGAAAGTCATTATACAAGAAGCAATACCGCAAGGATGTACATAGATGGAAGCAAAACATTGATGGTGCACTGAAGTTGGCAGGCCACAAGGAACGATATCGATGTATAGGTACATATTTAACTACGAATTAATACATGTCCTTTCATATACCAAAAAAGGATCAATGTCTGACGTGCACAACTTACACAGATGGCGATAGTAATGCAAAAGACGAGCTTAAAGACAAGTATGACTCGCATATTAAAGAAAAAGAATTAACCCGGACTGAAAAGAGCAACGATAAAGAGAAAATTAGTCAGCATTATATAGTTGCATGTTTCGATTTGCAAGCAACACTGCCAGTCCCCAAAGGTGACGTTTCATGTGTCTACTATAAATCCAAATTAAACTGTTACAATTTTACGGTCTGTGAGCTGCAAAAGAAAGGAATTGGTAATGTTGAGTGCTATTTCTGGCACGAAGGCGAAGGAAAACGAGGTTCAATCGAAATTGGAACATGCTTGCTCAAATTTTTGTAAAAAAAGCAGCTGCTGCAAATTCTGATGAGTTGAAGATTATTTTATACTCAGAAAATTGCGGCGGTCAAGGAAAAAACAAATTTATAGTTACAATATTGTTGTATGTTGTCACTACCTACAAAATAAAGATCATTACTCATAAGTTTTTCGTTGTAGGCCACGGGCAAAATGAAGGAGATTGCACACATTCAATGATTGAGAAAAGCATAAAAAGGACGTTAAGAGGTGGACCGATTTATGTACCAGCCCACTATGCAGCAATAATTTCTGCTGCAAAAAAAGTGGTAGTCCTTTTAGAGTCAATGAAATTGATCATACCGAATTTGTGGATCTCAAACATTTAACGAAGAATGTGATAACACCTTTCAATCAGAACACCGATAAAGAAATCTTTAATTTTAATTCTATTTCCATGGTAAAGGTAGAAAAAGATTATCCCGAAAAGTACTTTTATAAAACTTCCTACAATCAGACCGAATTCAAATCAGTTATAATTCACACAAGACGTCAAAATACGAGGCAAGGAACATCATCCATAGCAAACTATGAATTGACATCAGCATATCAACAGCCATTACCAGTTTCAAAGAGGAAGTTCGACGATCTACAATCCCTTCTTTCAAATAGATCTATTTCTTCTGCCTATTCTGGTTTTTTTCAACAGTTGCGAAAGGAAAATTAACCATTATTGAGTTATTAATTCTGTTATAATTATCGAAAATAAATTTGAGTTGTATTTATAAAATATTTTAAGAAAATACTTAGAATACCATTTTAGTTTTCCTGTTATATTTTTTAATAATACAAATGTTTTGTATTTATTTATCGTTATTCTACCAATAATTCTAACAAACGATTTATTCGTTTTATGTATTAATGACGTAACTAACATTTAAAATCGTAATTATTCGTATATTTAAAAAAAAAATTGTCATTTTATGAATTCAAGATATCTAGAATTTACACCAAAAAAATTGGTATAATAGTTCCAACCACATAGCCAAAAAACAAAAAAAAAAGTTTTCCTACAACTTCAACCGCGATTATCTCAGATCACCATTTTCGGAGTTACGTCACTAATGTTCTCACTAGGCGTAATATCACTCGAGTGCAAGATTTTTCCAAAGACGTTAAAATTATTACAAACAGAGTTTAAGAAAAAAAATAATGCAATATTGATAGATTTATATTATTATAATTTGTTGAATTTGCTTGTTTTTTGTTTATTTATAAAAAAATATTTTATTTATTAAATTTTTGTAATTTGTTTCAATAAAATCATTTATTAAATAACATTATTTTTATTAAAAAAAATAAAGAATTGTTTCTTATTTATAATTTCTGAGTCGATCTAAAGGTAAGTCAATGACGCGTGGTAGCGCGCTGTACTGACAGCGCTCGGCGCCCGTCATTAATAATTTTTTTTTGTTTAATCTAATTGCGAGCAGTCAAATTTTTTTGCGGATTCTTTACTTGAATGTTTAATGCATGATACCAAAAAAAAAATTCGTTTTTTGAGGGAAAAGTCATTAAAATTTTCATTTGTTAATTTAAAAGTTAATTAACAACATGAAAATAAGTAAATAATTTAAAGTCTTGCACATTTTATCAAAATACAAGTATTGCCCTATAAATCCTAAAAGTTTCATTAGAATATCTCTAATAGTTTTTTAATTATCGATTTTTTAACTAAAAGTCATTAATACAAAAATTGTTGTTAAAATGAAAATTATTAAAAACCGTTTTGTGGATTAATTGTTTATAGTGAATACTTTATGAAAAAATACTGATACCTGTATTCGATGATAAACTGGAAAATGGGAGGTCCACTTGACGTGATTTAGCTCAATTGGAAAATGCATTTTCCGGCCCAGAAGGCAGTTTTCAAAAAATGGCTAAACCAGACGATATAGACTTTTTTCCTGGGACGTTCCTGAACACAATGCAGAAATCTGCATCTCAATATCTGCTGTCCCTAAAAATTTCCGCTATTCCGGTCGATTTTGATCTAAATGCCCTAGATTAATTATAGGAATTACTAAAGAACTCCGATGAGGCGATCTGAATATTTAACCAAGTCTCGGTGAGACATATTATATTGTGATTACAGTTTAGATAGTTTTTGTACAATTTATTTAATTTCGTTTTCAAACTTCGAACGTTTTGATATAACATCCAAAAACCCATAAGAAAAGAAAACATTTTTAAAAATTTAGAAAAAATAACTTACAGTTTATTGACATCATCTAATGAAGATATTCTGATAACACGAGCCGTGTCATCCTTACGAATATAAACACAACCTTCACGAACCCAAACATACTTAAAAAATTTTGTTTTTGCTGTGTCCTTTGCATTTTTCAATAATTTTTTGGTGTACGATGTTAAGTGTTCATTGATGAAGAGTCGATTGGATACATTTTCTATATTTAGTCCGGGGGACGAAGTGCCGATTGCCTTCCGCTTAGATTTAGCTGAAGCCAAAATGGTTTTTCTTTTTCCAAAGCATCTTGACTATTAGAGGCTTAGGATTATTTGTATTGCTTGATTTGATTTGTGTCGATGTCCTGTGATGAAATAGGGCATTCAATATGTTCTCCAATTTTTTGTACTATACCAACCAGATTTTCTTCTTTCTTCTCTGGTATCGCATCAATTTCGAGATTATTGGACCTCATCTGCTGTTCCAAAGTTTCGACTCGGTTACTAAGCAATTTTATATCGGTCTTGAGTTCAGTATTTTCTTGAGAAAGTTTTTCTATTATATCTAACTTGTCATTCACCTTCATCATCATTGCATCAAAATCGGAAATTTTATTCGAACAAAAATTGACAGAATCTAGCATATTGCAGTAACTTTTGTTGAAGTTTAACATTTGTTCTTGAATTTTTTCGACGACTTTTAGGGTGCGAGTCGAGTAATAAGATAGAGGTCTATATTGTCCTTATCCTAATTTAAAAAAGAGTTATACCCCTCTATAATTAAATCAAAATCTTATACTTACACCTACTTCCTGCACGCCTACACCTTTGTAAAAAGAGTCACCTTAAAAAGCTAAGACTTTCAATTTAAAATCCGTAAGTGTCTTGTGGTTTCCTGTTAAGTTTATGGACTGGTTTATTTCTGAAGCCTTCTTTTTTAAATTGACTTTGTAATCACTCCAGGACTAAAACATCATAACTTTTATAAAACAATTAATTTCTTTGTTCATAAAATAAACTTTTTATTGAATTTATTTTACAATATTTTCAAAGAATATTAACGTATCATTGAAGATATATTAAATTTAAATACACAAATTTTTACTTTCTGCCATTTTTCGACTGGTTTACAGCCCAAATTAATGGAATTTAGTTTTTGGGCCAACTCCTTCCACATTAAATTATAATCCTTCGTGGCTTGAGTGGAAGTAAGTCGTCCTCTAGTCAGTTCTGGATGTGTAAACATGTACTCCAGTGAGCTTCTTCAATTTTAAAAGACCTATGGGGTAAATCTAATTATAAACCCATGTCAACAATGCCATCCAAACTGACGGCATATAATAGAAAATTTTAATTTGTCTTTCTAAAAGTCTGGTTATCCACACAATTTAATTTAACGCAAGAGCAGTGAATAAGAGTGTATTCCTGATCAGGTGATCACAGTTAGCCAATAGAAGAGCTTAATTCTTAAATTACGTTAAATTAAATTCATGCCTAAACCCACCATATTTACCTATAATAATAGTTTTGTGCTAATGTTTTGTTTCAATTTAACAGATAATTAGTTACTTACATTAATATTTTTTAAGGCAAACCTTTTACTTATATTCTCTTTAACTATTTATACCAATAACACAGAATAATTAACAAAAAAACAATGACTTCAAAAATGCTTCAAACGGTTCAAACTTCTACTTGAAATCGAGTATTTCGATATCGAATTTTCAATGGAAATGTCTGCACGGATCCTTCATCTTCAGACGAGGAATCAAAAGAGGACGAGGTATCCTCTACATGGTGAAACATATCCATCTATTTACACAAACAAACGTTGGCTCTAAAAATTGTTGTTTGTTTAGAAAAATCGTAAATAACTACAAAAACTAACTTAACCTTAGACAATTCCTATGAACTATCAGATAAGCTCCCAAACTGGGCGATCTCGGGCGGGTAACTATAACAAACTGTTAAGTCCTAAGAAAGTGTGATGAATTACATATGCATGTTGTTAGTCTAAATAGCACATGAAAGAAGTTATCAAATCGAGCCAATAAAGGAAACAATTATAATTAGGATACTAGATGATGCTCGAATTGGAGCCAAGCCTTGTGTTGACTTATATCAACATACTATTAACTTTTTTTAAGTCCTTATTTTATTGAATTAATCAAATTAGTTATGCACTTTTACACCCAGCGTAGAAGTTAGAATCTTATATGTCACTACGATATTTACATCCGCAAAACAGAGTTTTACGTTCCCTAAGTCTACTGGAATAATTCACCGATTGTAAAGCTAAGTATTTTGTATTTTTATTTTGAGCTTACACTCGGTGGGATGGTTACAATTTATTAGGTAGCTTTAATAAATTGCCTTCATTTCAATTTTCAAAATCTACAGTTGCTGCTCAGAGGGTGGGTAAAATAGTGGTTATTTCCTGGGTCATATATACACATAAAATAGTGCAACTTAAAATTAAACTACAAAAAAAAAAACACCTATAAATATACCAATATTTACAATATATAAAAATACCACTATTTACACTAATCATTTATTTAACATAACAAAAAACTTTTCGTATGCCATATTTATGGTATTTTGATTTGATTATAAATCCAGATAGTACAATTTAAAATAAAATAAGACTACATACATATTAAAATACTACATCACTAATCACTAAAAAAACTTATAGAATTGTAGCATGGTTTTCCACATTCATTCAAAAGAGTGGATTGTCTTTCTTGTCTCCTTTGATTATTAATATTATTTAAAATTATAATTTGAAAAATCACTTATTCTGCCATATTTTTCATACTTAGATTTGTATAAAGAGTTGTCCGAAATCAAATTTTTGATGTACTCGGAAAACTTATCAGAACTCTCCAATACCGGTAATAGTTGATACAGATTAAAATTATTTAGTTGCCTGTCTTCTCTTTTAGCTGCAATCTCGATCAAAATAGCTTCATGAAGCTTTATGTAGAGTATGAAATCTTCCATTTTCTTTGATAATATAAAATCTTCTTTCACTTTGTATTTTATGAGAATAAGACAGTTTAAATATTTTGTCCTCTATAAAAGGGTTAGCTCGGAGGTGTTAACATTAGCGTAGCTGTGAGAGGGGGTACTTGACATTCTGCGGGTGGACGTGTCAACAACTATCCCACCCTAGACCTACACCAATAGCTGTTAAGGATGCCACAGCATTTCCGGTTTTTGATACCATGATTCAAATTTAAATTTTAGTTAATCTTTTCATACGTAGATGTACCAACTAGGGTGGAGCGCTCGAATAGGTGTAATTTTAAAAATTTAAAAAATAGACTTTGCCTGTCTGCGGAAAAGATGTGTCCATATAAATAAGTAATACTGCATTTTTTTGGAGAGTATTTGTCACCCCCTTCCACCGCCACAACCCCCCCAAATATATATTTTTTTAATTTCATTGCCCATATACTGAAAAGTCTTATCATA